TGCTCTTTGACAATGTTATTGTGGACCCGCTGCCGAAGCATGTGTCCGAGAATCGCTTTTTTCATTAACATTGCGAAAAATAGTTTATAATTTTAAATCCTGCTGATAGTATATGATAAATTGAAATTGAATAAGTGTTTACAGACATTGTGAAATGTGATAGATTTAATTTATGAATCATAAGTCAGGTAGGTTCCTAAAATTATGTCTCATTTTGTCGTGACTACTGCTTGGCCGCTTAATCGGCCTCCGGTGTCTGGGGACTCTTAACGTTGTGGCCGCTTAAGCGGCCTGCGGTGTTGAATGGGCTAATATACATATATATTTTTTTCATTCAGTAATTTGCATCATAACACAGAAATGGAAGTTATTAGTATTATATTTTTCGAAGCTGTAAGAATTAATTAAACTGGACACATCAGCCATTTCTGAGCAGGTTCGGTCAATGTAGTCTATTTATTAGAATTATTTCAAGGGGTTAGGGACCAAATTAAATATATAGTTGGTGTAATGCATGAGTACCAATTGTATTTTTTCCTTTTGCATTTTTAATACTTTTTTCACATAAAACTTGGAGCCCCAAAACATCAAAAGTACACGATGAAATGGTTTAATGGAGAAATTTTGGGCTCATGGAAATTGGCCAAGAACTTGCACTGAGCCATTTTCACACTCCAAATGTTCAGTAATGATTTAAAGGCTAACTCACCCTTGTGCCGTCACCAAACATGCTCATGTCTCCCTCATTCCTTAGTGCGATCCACATTATCCTTATAGTATATATATATATTCGGTACAACACTTTTTGGTCACAAAATCACACGATGATTTTTATAAAAGCATGTCATTCATGCATGCACTGTGAAATCAACGTCTGATGCCTGACATCAGAAACTGTTTTCAGTTCGTGCCATATCAGCTCATTCCACACTCTTGTAGACAAATGGGGCAAGCTGCCAAATGGCATCGGCAGTTGCCGTGTATTAAAATCACAAGACACCAAGTCCGTGACCTATTCGACACTTTCCGTTCATTTCTGTAACGTCACAGGAATGACTAGATAAATTTTCACATTGTGTAACAGTTTGGCTGTTGCTTGTCTTAGTGACACATGACCTACGGCAGAGAACATCCTCACGAGAAGCTGTGGTGCTGAATTCTAAGCTGCTCCGTAGATTGTATTATCGTTATTCCTATGCAAAGAGTTTGTTCTGAGTTAAAATGATACATGCTTACGGGACATTCTATGGAAAAGGTCAATTTCAGCTTTTGCTCTTAAGAAAATTTTATTTGCAATTTTTTGTATTTTTATGTCTTCATGTAAACTACTTTGGTTTGTATGATTGGTATATTGCATCAGCAGAGAAGCTTGGACAAGTATTTCCATAAAATTTATTGTGACGTTTCAACTTTAAATCAGAACCTCGTTACCGCAACGGCTGCAAAAATCTAGTCATAAATGTTGTTTAAAAACAGCTATGAAATCGAAAGAGTAGTTAGGCATCACATATATTATATTATGATTCGTAAAAGGTGTTTGAGTACCTACGTGAGGCAGCTAGTTTGCATGATCTGGACTTTTCCCTGTTAACGTTTGACCTAAGCTAATATAACACAATCATATTTCATGCATGGCATAAACATGATTATAAAAAATGACAAATAAATAAACACTAACAAATTGAACAAGCTACCACACTTAACAGATGGATATAAATAATAAACAAATAATATACACACCAGGCCTAGGTGACAGTTAACCGCTGTCAGTCAGTCTTGACAAGAGTGCAGAAGTGTCAACCTAAAACCTTGTATAATAATAAAAACCTAATACACATAAATTATAACCACAGACTTAGGTGACAGTTGACCGCTGTCAGTCATGAGAATAACTGAGTGCAGAAGTGTCAACCTAAAGCCTTGTATTAAACAAATAATGCACAGTGAATAGATACCTGCTAACCCATTCATCAATGAAAAGACCTGCAGAATATTTACCCACTTTATAACGTGCATTAATGTAAATACATGTAATATATACAATAATAATATAAATGGATACATATTGGTAACACTACACATATATAAATATGTTGACAGAAATTTGATTAAATACAAACCACGCAAAGCCATGTAAACGTTGCTACAGCGTTGCCATGTATCCAGCGACAGTGATTGACAGCTAGGTACATCGCGACCCTGCAATCAACACCATGAAATTTACACGTAATACGCCGGGTGCGAGGCATGCAGCTTCCAGCGGTTGACATGAACAAGCACATGGATAGTGGATACATCAACACCCTTTGTTTACTATGTTTTTTACATTGCGATGAATTTGTTTACGGCCGATATGTTAAATATAAAACTAAAGAGCATTGGGGTTTTTACTCTATTAGCCATTGAAAAAGCTTAAAACGCTCCATACAGCGAGTTTTGCTCTATATAAGGACATCACGTGACCCATTCATCAGTCCTTTCCCATTGTTTTTCTTGTCACAAATTTCACAAAGGCTTAATCCTGTTCACAGCCTGTTGTGAAAGCCTAGTGCTAGGGAAAGGCGCTTACCTTGCTTCGTAAGCGTAGATGGATGAGGAGATCAAGTGTTCTGTCAGTTCTGCGATTAGCGTCTGTTCTCGTCAGTGTCTTGTATCGATCTGTCAGTTGATCACGTGCCCCGATCACACCCGGAAACATGCGAGTATCACTGGATGGCCAATCCGATGAAACTCGATGTACGAGTGCGGAAGCACTGATCACTACATAATCAATATAGGTATAACCAAAAAAATGTAATTTAACTAAAACAGTAAGTCTATACACAGTTTAATTCACCTAAACATTAGCTTTTCACTTTCCTATTTCTGTCCTTGAGAATGAGTGAGCGAGTATACACTTTTTATCATTTATGTGTTTGTCTATAACTATGTATGTATGTTTTGAAGTGTTCATGGGCATGGTGTGGGTCATACATGGTATGTTACCCAGTCTTTCAATAGTATTTATATTTGTATATTTATTTGTATTTAGATGCAGTTGATATAATCAACTGGTGCAGTCAGTCCGCGCCCCAGTACTAACCACAGGGTACGCTTATAACTATTTTTGTGTATTTATAAAAAACTAGTCTTCATGTACATCATATGTATACATAGTCAGTGTAGTTTACCCTTGAATATATTTGATAAATGTATTAGTTGACTACATTATACCACGTCATCCGTTTGATTAAATGTGTGAATATATATGAATATAAATATGAATTGTGATTATGATTGTGATTGTTATTGTAATGTACCCTTACATACGCATGTGTGTATATATCTATGTACTTATTGTTATGTATATGTTTCAGGGCGTTTGTTCTCACTTATACTCCTCCAATAAATCCTTAAAACTTAAACCCGACCCGTGTGTCATGATTGAACACCTCCGGTTACATATACAAAATACCGACACATTAAGCAGATATACCAGTCTTTATGGAGACCTGACATGCCACAAATAAGACATCCCGGTGTTCTGAATACATACAGGCAACTACCCAAGTGTATCATAATAACCTGGATGCATGTGTGACTCAAGACCTGGTTTGTAGGATAGATGTCTAAATGGCATACGCCATGTCATGAATAACCATCTATTTTCAACTAAAAAAAACTAAGCACTATCATTAATTAAGCATTATTATCCAGCGTCAACATATCATCCATGATGTACTTCCATCTTATCTTCACAGTTGGGACTCTACTGGTGGACATTTCTCACAAATTAATTATTTTTATGTCTTTTAAATGGGTCAGCTGTGCCTGTATCAGGTGACGAATAATGTTTTATATATAATGACAGGTGTACAATATCGGTATCATTTCATAGAGCAGTCTATTTTGAAAATAGAAGAATGCAATTTCTGGTGTTTCACGTATGTACTTTTTTATATATACAGATTTCTCAGGTTATTAAGAGTAGGATATGTAAAGACAAAGTGGATTTCATTATCCATACCTCTTTTATCTTTGGAATCCCCTTTGGAATCCCTATAGTTTCCATTCGTTACTACATTTTTTCAAAATATGCAGTTGAGGTTTGTAGTCCAAGAACAGAGTCTGATGATAATATTACATCGTCTGCAAAGTGAAGCATTAGAAGTTCTGCTAATTGGAGAACAGTTGTGTTTAATTACCACAATTAAGAATTTCAAAGTAGTACTAGTAGTAGTACTACAATTCACTGATGAAAAATGAAAACATTATAGGATTAAGCATGCATCCATGACGAAATCCACTTGGACAATAAAAATAGTCAGTGAGATCATATCCACAGCAAACACATGATTTAACATTTGCGTATACATGTATAGCACATACATTCTACCCCTCAGGCCAACTTTTGTGACACATTGCCACAATTTAGAACGATCAACAGAGTCAAATGGGTTTTTTATAATCTACTAAGGCTACTTATAGATTATGTTTTTTAATGATAAGCGTTTTTTAATTAATGCATATAAAGTACAGATGTGATCAATCAATGAATAGTTCTTTCAGAATCCAGGCTGGGATCCAGGTAATTTGTCGCGCTTATATGCACAAAGCGAAATTATATTATGAAGGATTTTTGTAAACACTTTCTAAAAATACCCATTAGTGATATACCCCTATAGCTGTCTAAATGGTTTGGGTCCCCCTTCTTGAGTAACAGGGTTATAACAGAGGATGCCCAGGAATGTGGAAAATACTTTCATCAACGACTTTGTAAAAACATGTATAATGAATTGTATAATTTCAGGTGTATGAAAATAGATTTCTCACTCCAGTTACCACGCACACACCCACTGACAACAGAACCGGGAAGAACATTGCAGTTAATGTTGTATTTCAACTACAGGACTCTTTTGGAAAGGACTGACTGTTGCTAAATGTGGCCAACTTACTCTCAATATACAGACATGAATTTAAGTTCCTCATTGCATATTTGACATGGATCCAGTGTTACTACAATACATTTGTAGCTTTTCGAAATCTAATACGCTCATAATGAAAGGAAAGTCGGGACATTTACAGTTGTCTATTCATCCAACTACCTATGCACCCTAGTCTACCACTGAGCCACCCGGGGTCAGCTGGTATTGTCAGACACCGCCTATGCAGGTAGGCTGCAAGCTATGAAATGAGTCTACGTGTGTTTCTGGAGTTAATTCCATTGCTTGTTCTGCTGGATACTACTCACATACGTCCTTGTGGTAGGTGCAGTTCCGTGTTACATTCTGTTGCTTACACATAATGTCTTGCTATACAACAAACGTACCCTAAACACTACGCACTTGTTGACCTCCTGGCTGGGTTGACAGTAGAGAGGCAAACCTTGTCCGAGGGATTAACTGGTTGAACAGACGCTTTTATTTCCAGCCAGAATATAACATTGGCCGACTTGGATGGTAATGCTACATTCCTAGTCATAGCCGTTTGGCTTTTGAAACATAAATAACAGCATTCAATCGACAACTGCCGACTCTGTTGCCAAACGCGGGACTTGGTGTTTGGAGTTACCTCCCTTTAGTTAGATTAAATTCGCAGCTCGGCACAATTCCTGTTGTACAGATGTTGACGAACGTATTTCAAGTGATATTCAGATCGGTATTATATCTGAATAAATTGATTATCTAGTACCAACAGAAAACAAGACACATAAAGGCACGTTGGCATATTTTTTGATGACAGACTTCTAAAACCCAAGAACGAACGTTGATTCCTGAAATGAGGATATGCCGCAGCTAAACATGGTAGCATCTGTACCAGACTTTAGAAAGTAAGAAATATAAAATCGTAGATTTGTATTGTTACATAAAAGGGCTTGGTTGGAAATCGGACCTGTAAAAGTGCGGTATAATATAATATTTATAATAATAAATGGATATTTCTTGTGCGCCATAGTCCACCCAGAGCATGCTCAAAGCTCTACATATAAGAGTCACTAGAGTTTATGAGGAAAATATGACAGTTCGTCAAAATGACCATCAGAATATTTGGCAGTTATTGGTTGTAGAATGTTTTGAAGAGGAATGATTTGAATGCTTCGAAGGATGAAGCATCTTTTGTGGGGGGATGGAAGACTGTTCCACAGGGTTGGTGCTGCAAATTTGACTGGTCTATGGCCAAAGATATAAATGATCGTTCGAAATCTAAATTCCAAACTTTTAAGAACCATTTTATTCATGGATGTTATTGAAATACTCCTCATATCAAACTAACGTGCAACTGAAAGACTGCCCAAAGCACAACACACTCACCAGCAACACTTGGAACAAACAAACAACAAAATGTTTCAGGGTCAGCTCCAGTTCTTGCCACCAACAGACGTGTTCCTGTGGAGGGTGTCAGTTTCAGCATCACCTGTACACTAGATGCAGCTATCATTGGATCTGCTGTCTTCTACAAGGGTCCTACTTCTAACCAGGGAGCCTGCCTATCATCAGGCAGGTGTGGGACATCTGTGTCAGGATACAATGTGAGTCTGGACAGTACATCGAGGATCCTGACTTTAGACATCGCATCAGCAGATTCCACCAGAGACAGTGGGACATGGACATGTAGTGATGGTGCTGCATTATCCAACAACATCACACTGTCACAGTTTGCAGGTGGATTTTATATGCGTTTTATGAGCCTAAGATTCATGTCAAACTTAAAAAAGAAACATAATAAGAAGATATATTCAAATGAAATTGTTAAATATGAATTAATATAACCCTTTCCACAATCACGACCAGTTCTCCTGTATGATTCAGACAATATCATGAACAAGTGTTTATAGTTTTTATGAAGATGCCCAATATGTTCAATATGATGCCCTATTACAACAGCTGCAAGGAAACATGCGACTTCCAGTAAATAATGTGTTAGTTCTCTGTATATGTGACATCAGGTGAGTGTTTTTGTTTATTTAAATGACATAACTCGACAGCTCGAAAACTCCACCGCGTTTTCTGATCTGTATCCGACAATATTTCCTCTTGTTAAATTTATTCTGAATGTTTCGTGTCCATATACCGGGGTCTTGCCTGGCTTCCCCCGGACATCAAACAGACACACATCATGATATAACTGGCCAAATATGGAACGTCACTGCAACGAAATACGTTGTCTTGACCCCAGAAAGAAATTCCGTTTGGGAAAAGAAGGGAAAAATAGCTATAAAAATTGTAGGAAATCATCACGTGAAATCCGTGATGACAAAAGGTGTTGAGAATTTTCAGCTCACCCTTGCCCTCAGTTTGCAAAATCTCATATGTATTTGACATGACACAGTAAAGAAAATTTACATTTAAATATATACGTTTCAGCTGTATCATGAATTACATCAGTACAAATATTCTGGTCAGATGACAGCATAACTACTTGCATTACCAGGTACAAAATCACCATTGAACGATGAGCTGCAATTATCAAGGGCGGCCATACAGCGTGGTCCAGAGTTCATATCTTGATTGACTGGCCTCTGCGAACTTTCAAGACGTTTATAGATTTACACAAGACGTATAATTTTATCATTCCTTCGTATCAGTTGTCCTGGACTGGAACTCTGTGACCTTCTCTCCAGAACTGACATCTCTCCCGTCCTCAGTGACACCACAGAATAACATCTCCGTCACTGTGACCACTCCGTGTACTACCCCTGCCGCCGCCATCACATGGAGATACCAGCAGGTAGGAACCGTATGTTCATCTTCATGTATTAGGTCATCGTGTGTATGTATCTGTCAGCGATATTGCGGTTGTAGTCCCACAGCAGGTCTAGAGTAGATGCCTCTTGTTTTAATTTGGAACACACAAGTCAGCGGTTTTCAGTGTTGATCTGCATCGAATTTCAAAACACAGTGGGTTTATCGCTATTCCATTTTCACACGAGGGCAGAAAAATGATTCAAGGGTAGTTATTTATCATAACAGATACGATATTATGTATTTCACTGACATGATATCATGTCATGAATAAACATATTGCATTGCTTGAGTTGACATCATCAATATCATCATTGACATCAATATATATGCTGAAGATCTGTTTATCTTTCCGTTGGGAAAAAACTCATAAACTGGCAAATCTCCAAACCTGAAAGAAATATCAAAATCTTTTATGCTTTCTGAGGACATGAATTGTAACCGAAAGTGACACTTGAATCCAATTACTGATTATCGTGTGTTTCACTGCATGCACGTGGAGTAATCCGATGAAAACTGCTTATTTTGTTCATTTGAGGTAAACAAGAAACAACTGTGCATTTTAGGATGAAACAGTTTTAGCCGTACATAGGACTGTAAGTATCGTAATTCCTTTCATTATAACAATAATTTTTTTAACAGTGTATCCTTTAAAATTATCTATTAATCTTTAACTGAAGAAGGTAGTAGTTATCACAATACTTAATGACGTTTCGGTGTAGGTACATTTTAGGATGAAACAATTTTAGCCGTACATAGGACTGTAAGTATCGTAATTCCTTTCATTATAACAATAATTCTTATAACAGTGTATCTTTTAAAATTATCTTTAATCTTCAACTGAAGTTGGCAGTAGTTATCACAATAATTAATGACGTTTCGGTGTAGGTACTAACACAGTCAAGCACTTGCTTGATAACGGTGTTAGTACCTACACCGAAACGTCGCACTCATTGCAATAAAGAAGTTCACTATTCATAAAACTTGGTTATCCTTCATCTCTACAACTTCTAAAACGCCTCTCAAAGAAGTCTTTGATGGGTAATTATATAATACAGCGACGTCCCACCAGCTGTAAATATTACGATAGGTCCGGACAACCTTCAGTCCATCAGTCTGCGTTGTGTTTACAGGGTGTGAGTGGCGTCCCTCCCAGCGGTACATCTTCCACCCAAGGATCATGTCCATCAGTCTGTGTTGTGTTTACAGGGTGTGAGTGGCGTCCCTCCCTGCAGTACATCTTCCACCCAAGGATCAACACCAACAGTCTGTGTTGTGTTTACAGGGTGTGAGTGGCGTCCCTCCCAGCAGTACATCTTCCACCCAAGGATCATGTCCATCAGTCTGTGTTGTGTTTACAGGGTGTGAGTGGCGTCCCTGCCAGCGGTACATCTTCCACCCAAGGATCATGTCCATCAGTCTGTGTTGTGTTTACAGGGTGTGAGTGGCGTCCCTCCCAGCAGTACATCTTCCACCCAAGGATCATGTCCATCAGTCTGTGTTGTGTTTACAGGGTGTGAGTGGCGTCCCTCCCAGCGGTGCATCTTCCACCCAAGGATCATGTCCATCAGTCTGTGTTGTGTTAACAGGGTGTGAGCGGCGTCCCTCCCAGCAGTACATCTTCCACCCAGGGATCATGTCCATCAGTCTGTGTTGTGTTTACAGGGTGTGAGTGGCGTCCCTCCTAGCAGTACATCTTCCACCCAGGGATCATGTCCATCAGGTCAGGTCAAGACAACCAACACCCTGTCTCTACCAGGGAACACAGTCAGACTATCTAACTACTGTTTTGTGTTTACAGGGTGTGAGTGGCGTCCCTCCCAGCAGTACATCTTCCACCCAGGGATCATGTCCATCAGGTCAGGTCAAGACAACCAACACACTGTCTCTACCAGGGAACATGGTCAGTCTATCTAACTACTGTTTTGTGTTTACAGGGTGTGAGTGGCGTCCCTCCCAGCAGTACATCCTCGACCCAGGGATTGTGTCCTTTAGGTCAGGTCCAGACAACCAACACCCTGTCTCTACCAGGGAACACAGTCAGTCTCTACAACAGGCAGGTGTCTCTCACTGTCAGTGTGGAACATGACTCCTTTGATCCTCCCACGTACACCAAATCTGTCACTTCAAACACCATACAGTTCCCTGGTGAGTACATATGAACTCCCAGTCTTCCTGTTGTTAACTCATGATCAGTATCATTGTTCAACAAGAGTGAGGAGTGAGTGAGTGAGTGAGTGAGTGAGTGAGTGAGTGAGTGAGTGAGTGAGTGAGTGAGTGAGTGAGTGAGTGAGTGAGTGAGTGAGTGCGTGAGTATGGTGTTACGCAGGTTTAAGAAATATTCCAGCAATATCATGGCGAGGGGCTCAAACAATGGGTTTCACACATTGTACCCGTGTGAGAATCAAACTTGTGTCGTTGGCCTAGCGAGTCAACACTTTAACCACTAGGCTACCCCATCGCCCATGTTTCAGCAAGAAGGGTAAGTATCACAGCAGTAAGCTTCCTCCTGGGAAAAGTCTTCGAAGTAACATTTTTGAAAATGTCTTTACGTGTATGTCACCCAATACATTTCAAACACAGCAAGAATGTTATAAAGCCGACCTGTTTAAATATGATGTATGAATTATGTTTTATATGTCATCCATATTGATTTGGTACTGAAAGGTACACTTGGGGGATTACAAAGCATTCATTTCACAGAGAGTTAGGTTGGTGATAAGTACAGCGTTGTTTTGTTTTGAAAATATATTATGTTCGTCAGCCTTTGAAGGCCGGTTTGTGTTGTAGACATGTGTGTAATACTTTCAGTTTTGGATCACCATTTTAGGAGGTAAAATGTCAAATTGTGTGCATCTGTTGATATAACCAGAGACAATATTGCATGCATACTAATGAGCAAAAGTTGTCACGTGGCACAAACACATGATCAATTGTCAGATCACTATGTATGTACATGTATGTATCTGACAAAAACTGAAAAGGTCATGAATGGCCACAAAAAAGACTAACCCTCAGAGGCTGGTATGTATGTGGCTCTGAAGTCACAAACTCCTAGTAAGAGTCAGTCGGTTGCCAAGCTTACTCCAATCCTCAGTAAGAACGTTGCCAACTTCCCGTAGAGTTGCTGGAAGGCGGCGTCACTGGAGGACGCCTTGCAGCTCGTTCCTCGCTTCTTTGATGGGGTTGATGGCTGGTGACCTGACTGGCCTCCCCATGCACATAATGGTCTCGTGCTCAACGTACATATTAACGACCCTTGCATGATGAGGTCTTGTGTTATCGTCCATGCGAATGCTTGCCTCCCGTAACCTGACAACAACCAGTCTCACTGAAACGATTACACACTGTGTAAGTGGAAACGTTCAACAGACCATTTCTCAGTATGACATCCTTGTGCAATCAGGAGAAATCCAACTGTGGTACAATGCTATCGGCTGCATGAGTAGTATAAATCTCTGACGTAAAAACACGACAGATTGTCCTATTATATTCTACAAACGACAACACGAGAAATTGAAAGAGAAAGCTTTTCTACTTAAAACGTTGAGTTGAATGTTCGAAATAAGTTATATACTCAAATAACACACCGAATCAATGCTACACGTTTACTGGCGCGAAAGAAATTGTGTTCCATGGAAAGACAAATGTTCCAAGGCGTTTTCCTGGCTTCTCGCGAGTCTTAAGACCCCACTTAGTGGAAATAATAAGCTGTCTGGCCTTTAAAAGTGAACATTGCTCGCAATGCTCGAATACCCACGTTCTAATTTCGTACAATTCGAACAACAGATGTTTGGATGCGTTCCTTCGACCACTGTATATCCCTCTGTCTCTGTTTCAAATAAAAAAACCCACTTTCACAAGACTACTGGTGAAAACATCCATGTTACAATAACTTTTGCCGCTGAGTATAACAAATTCCTAAGCTGCTATATTATGTGGTTAATACATAATATTATCCACTGTTTGGAATATGACCCTGAAATAGTGGCATGTGTGAAAAACTATTCAAAGTAAGAGTGTCTTGCGTCTTCCGTTTTTACAGTCCGGGTCAGCTCTGTGACACTCACAAACATCAAGTCTGATAATGAGAAGATTGGACAGGAGGTGGGTCAAACTCTAACCTTGACCTGCGTGACCTCAGCCAGTTTCCCCACTTCTACTGTCACCTGGGTGGCCTTGCCATCAGGAACGACACCTACAGTCACCACAGAGACGACATCTGGTGTCCTGATGAAGACAACAAGCTCCGTCACATTCACTGTCAGTAGGGGTGACCAGGGGAGGAGCATTCGTTGTCAGGCTGAAAACATCAACGGTCAGACATCCCCGCAGTCTAACAGAGCCACACTGGAAGTTTGGTGTAAGTAGACATAGTCTAACAGAGTCACACTGGTGGTTTGGTGTAAGTAGACACAGTTTAACAGAGCTACACGGGACGTTCGATGTAAGTAGATACAGTGTAACAGAGCCACACTGGAGGTTTGGTGTAAGTAGACACAATATGTAACAAAGCCATAATGGAGGTTTGGTGGAAGAAGACACAGTGTAACAGAGCCACGCTGGAGTTTAGGTGTAAGAGAGCTACAAGGAAGGTTTGATGTGAGAAGACAAAGTCACACAGCCACACTAGAGATTTGGTGTATATAGACATTGTTTGGGCGTATGATGACGCAGTCCAAGAGAGAAACATGAGATGCAATCTTATAACATAGCCCAATGCGGGTTAAGTAATCAGGTATCAATCAAATGTTTTGTAAGTAGCGCGTCAGGTATGAAATGCCATCTTCAACAGAGCCTTCAACAGCATCGTTAAACCCAACTCACTCACTCACTACTCATTCACCTCACTACATGTTTTGTGTAAGTAATCAGGTATCAATCAGATGTAGCGTGTCAGGTATGGAATATACAGGTTTTGCTGTCAACAGTCTTGTCTCTATCAAGGCAATGTATAAAGTAAATAAAGTCTTCAGATCCACTGTGAATGATTGCAACAAATCCGCACATTTCAGAACGCCACGCTGGTGTTTGATGCAGAGAAACAGAATAAGGGTATTGCTGATCTGAACATGTGTCTGTCAGACGTATGCAAGATTATGTATATAAGCAGATACAGTGTAACAAGCAACACAGTAATTATATACTTGAACTGTATTCCAGTTGGACCAGAGCACGTTGATGTAACAATGCCAGAAAACAATGTAACTTTAGAGAACATAAATATGACCTTGACCTGTGGTACCACCGGTTACCCCAACCTGATCTTCACCTGGGACTACAGTGATGGAACACCAGTAGGTGGCAGCACAGGACCTGTAGCAGAATCTTCTACTTGGTGGTCCCAGACTCTCATCTTCAGGCCAAACAAAGGCAAGACAAGTGTGAGGTGTCACGTCAGAAACACCATAACATCCACAACTAAGACTGGTTCTGTGTCACTGGATGTCAAATGTAAGTTCAGGAGTGTTTCGAGGATTTTATTTATAACGCAAAGCATTTCCATCATGTAAATACTTCCTGGACATCATAATGCCTATGCCAGTTTCTGGGGGTATTTTTTCAGTTTTCTACTTTGCACTATGAGCGTAAGCCACTGATGAATTTAATTGTATTTGCAAGCTGACTGCCATATCAAGATGGTGTTACTACACATTCGTGTGGTGTATAATTGTCTTTAGCGATCACTAGCGTTAATGTAAAACGTTAATATCAAACTTTGATTATCCAGTGTAACGGATTCCACAGGGCATTAGAGGTAACATAGCAGTGAAAATGATATGACTGGATCACCGGAAACGGTGGTAAGACCAGGCTTTAAATCCATCGATCTCGTGAAACAACCCAGATATATTCATGGTCCTCGCTGTTACATGTACACTTCATGTTCTGTTTTTCATGGTTAAACCATATTTGTTTAAGATCACCCACGTGACCCTCCCTCCATCACACAGTTTCCGGCTCTGATGTTTGAAGGAGACCCACAGACAATCAGCTGCTCTGTGACAGGAGGAAATCCTCTAGCTACGATCACATGGTCCTGTCCTGGCACTGGATCAGCATCGGTCAGTGACAGTGGTCAGACCAGGACATCTACTCTCTCCTTTACTGTCAGCAGGAGTCAACATGGTCAACAGTGTCAGTGTCTGGGGGCGTGGCGGTATGGAGGATACAACTACACTGATGTCAGGACATTCAACGTCAGCTGTGAGTACCGTTAACTGTTTCTGAATGGACTGACAGGTACAAGGGATACCCTCTTCTCATTGAGACATGTATGGATGATTCATCCTTTCTATGTTAGAGATCCCTGAAGTTTTTGGCCATGCTAGGCTTTGTCATTTTCTCCCAGATGGCATTTTAGAAGCTGTATTTTTGATGTAGATGATACCTTTGTCAAACTTTTAAACCGAGACAACTCAAAGCTTGGGACAATGATTAATTGATTATCAAAAATTAAATGTACGTACATGATTTATTTACAACTCATCCTACACCGCAGGTCCAATAAACCCACAACCACTCAAAGCCGACTGTAACATGACAGGTGTAATAGCAGGAACCGCAATAGGAACCCTAATTCTCACCTTACTGATTGGAGCTCTAGTTCTGGCTGTCCTCTATAGGAAGGGGTTCAGGTTTGGAAACGTCATGACAGGTATGTTGTTAAATCTCATTGGCAAGAAGTAGTGTGTCGTGATGTTTTATTTCAACGTGAATTTAATTGATCACGATGGTGGACCTGAAAGTTATCTGTGAACCTGGTACTGCATACACAAACAATAAAGACATATAACTGCGGGACTGGTGATTCTGAGGAGTATGTCTGTCATAACGTTTCATATGATTCATGCTTCCTTTGCATCAGTAACCAACAATTTCCAGATTGCCATGTGATGTGTGTATTTCGTTGAACTGTATATGCATTGTCTTCTTTTCAGAAAATGCTTCCCCGAAAAGGTACACCAGATTGATAAATAATCCGTTTTGAAAGAATTGGCTTTGAAATACTTTAAATGTAATTTATAATCAAATATTAATATCAAATAATAAATGTATGCGTTTCCATTGTGAGATCAATTACCTGTCTCATTTGCCTTTGTAGCACTAGAAATCCTGAATTGGAAGAAAATGAAAACATAGGATACTCCTCCCTAGGTAGGTTCAATATTTATGGTCAGATATATCGATTTGATCACAGACATACTTCTCGAATTTTATATGTTAATATTGATTTGTTACAGATCAAATTGACAGTCCAGCACAGTCCTCTAGCATGAGTAGAGATGGTTCGGAAAGACAACATTACACACAGTTGAAGATTTACGAGAATACAAACGGTAGATGGATACAGTTTTACATTATTATAACACTCAATCATATGTGAGGTGAAGGTATGCCATAGTGCAGGTATTATATCTATCTTGTTTTTGGAATGGCATACAACATATGAACTGTTATTTTGGAAATGTGTGTCGTGGTTTTCAGTCGAGGCCAAACGAGAGACAAGTACCTACGAAGACATAACAGAGACGCCTCCTGCACCAAACGAGTCAATCAGCGCCTCTCCATACCAGAACAGCGGCGCTCAACCTTGAGGTAAGCAATATTTGGAAAACAAAGTTCACGCAATTAATTGTACACAAGAACAGTCTCAAACTGACGCCTTGGCTTCCTCATCTGTTCTAATGTAGAGTGTATTGTTTACTGTGCTATAATTTGTAAATCTGGATAAATCAAAGGTGGTTGTTTTTCGAAACGGAGGACGCGTTAAGAGAAATGAAAAATGTTTTTTTAAAGGTCTACCTTTAGAGGCCACCCCTTATTAAAAATATTTAGGAATTGTATTTTCGTCTCGTTTAGTTTGGTCCAAAGCGTGTGAAACGCCATCTTTACAAGCCCAACGTGCATTTTTCTCTCTGTTTCAACTGTTCGCCAAGTATCAAAGTATGTCCTTAACTATTGCTAATAATATATTTGTCAGTAAGATACTACAAATTCTAACCTATGGACGTGAAATTTGGGGCTATGCTTATAGAACGTGTATTGAAAAGGTTCATAGTGAGTACTATAAAAGATTTCTGACACTCAGTAAAAAAACTGCATCATGTGCTGTACTTGGAAAAATTGGCAGATATAACTTGTGTGTACATTACCATTCAAGGTGTATTAAATATTGGTGCCGAATTATTCGTATGGATCAAAATAGATACCCGAATGCCTGTTATAAGATGATGAAAACTATGATGATAACGGAGGCACAAACTGGGTTTCACATGTTCGAATGCTTCTATTAACTACAGCTTTCTCCTATGTCTGGTTAGCCCAAGATTGTGGGGATGTAACTCACTTCATGTTTGAGTTCAAACAACGCTGTATAGATATTAATATAAAACACTGGAATGGTAACATATGAAACTCATCATTTCTTGTAAATTATAGTACATTTAAGTCACTTCTTGAACCTGAACTGTATATTTCCTGTGGCGCATTAGACAAAAATCTTATGCGAATGTTGATCAAATTCCGATGCCAAACACATAACTTGAATATACAAAAACAACGTTTTTCAAAGATAATTGTCCCATGTAAAGAATTAGTTTGTAACAAATGTACTTTAAACGTGTTTGAAGACGAATATCACTTTCATAACCGATGCAGATCCCAATGTATTCCAGCCTATTTCTACAGCCCACCTTCAATTGCCAATTCCGAGCCCCTACGAAGATACACAGTGTCACTGTTCTTAAAGGAATATGTATATTCCTGAAGCAAAACCTACGTTAAAATAATTGTATTATGAATTATATTTCAACTCTACACACAATGACAATGTTGTATTACCTGTTGTACTCTTGGCCAAATGGCCTTCAATTCTGAATAAAGTGATCATCAAATATAATTTGACTTGGCACATTCTTTACGAAATTAATGAGACACACTGAATTTGCTACTGTATATTTCATGTATTTTCAGATCCTGACTACGGGAATACGTAAAGCAAACAAGACATGAGATGACATCACTGGACAGTAATACAAAGGGAATGAACTGATAATCTGTGTACATTTCATATGGTTTATTTTGTCAACATATGACTGTTACCTTATTACATATGTATATGATATTATATTATTTGTACTATGTACACACATGATTCAACAAACGTTTACGCACATATATATTTTTAAGATTGGATAATTGTGTATTTATCTGTGTTCGTATGCATAATAGATGACTATATGTAACGAGATGTAACTGTGTATATTTTAAATGCAGTATGTGTATACCGCGTAAAATAAGAAATGTCTCGTTACACTTTAGTTTGATGACATCAGACAATGATTTCAGTGATTTACGCGTGTTTAAGATTAACAGACTTAACATACCAGAAAAAGGAACAAAATGCAATTATGTTATGATGAAAGTTTGGCGTAATGTTCTTGATTGATTGTACTGATTGTTGTAATAATCACTGATCCTTTTACAACAAATAAGATATAGAACTCGAACCCAAACCCAATGTTTCTCTTTCTAAAGCTATTGATAAGTAAAGTATTTTCTGTGAAATCAAAAAGTCTTTTAACATCATAAAACATTTCCCCGTGTGACCAAATTCATATTTAAATCATTTAGTTTCATATATCGCTTAAGGAAGGTTATCCGATATTTTGGCACCATCATTGATGAAAAGCTCAGTTTTACAGCGAACACAGACAAAATCTAAAAAATGCTAACAAAGACTCTTCACGGAAATTAAACTCTTTTAATGTCAATTATACTTCCAAACGCCACTTTTTAGAAACTCATTTCTTCCATGCTTTTATATATCACAGCATCTAATGTACAACAAATTCCCATTCGGGAAAATAAAGTATTATTGTCGTTATTATTAAAACAATTCAAACAAGACTCTTATTTAACTTGTTTGGTGACTTCACGTAAGAAAAATAAAGATTCACTCCAAATAACTTATGTTTACTTCATGACCGTAAAAAAATATGGTCGGTTTTACGCCCTGGTTTTACCAACTTCACTTATATTCTAGGGTCCTTCAGACTATCAAAATGTAGATAAAAAGGTATTTTTTATAACTTTCTATGTGATTGAAGTGTCGTATAACTTGCTAGATATACAAGATGGTAAAACAATACTGTAGGCGTGATGCATATCAGTGTATAATTGAGCCAAACGTCTCACTGAACTACCTATGCATCTATGACGTAATTGAGAGACTATCCGCGGATCACCATGACGTTATTCTCTTGCATGGAAAGGGTATTACCGCCATGTTATAAGCATATGCAGTATAGTTTTTACGGGACTAGGTTAGTTGTTTTTTATTGAAGTGAAGTGAAGTGCACACACATATACATATATTGGTGGAGGGGGCGGTCGGGGGGTCATAATGTCGGCGTGATCACCGCACACCAATGAACCTTCTTCCGAATACCGAAGGATAGTTAACGAGCGACCGCATGGGAATGGGAATCCTATCCGTCAAACCACGTTTAACTCAACCCATTGTGTTGTGTATATTTTACACGATATTGTATATTTATAACAGTGAGAGAGCTCCAAACCATCGGCTAATGCAGTGTTGTGAATAGTGATTATGTGGTGGATGTCTGAGGGAACAGAATACTGCAGTTAATAATTGGCCCCCTTGTCTATTGTGTCTTTTGTAGGTCATGTCGAGTGTGATAGTGAGGCTTATCTTGCTCTTGTTGTTTTGAACACGCCTATATGTGCACATTGTAAGCCAAGGTCGGTGACTCGGTCTGTTGGTTTTAGTATCCCCAGATAATGCAACGTGGTAGGTATTCACTTAAGCAAAGTGGGGCATGTTCGCTTGTATGCGATCTGATAACAGTCAGGGTTTTGAATTGACAGTCGTAATGGCATTCGTTGGGCTGTATACTGAGGTGCAGCATGGTGACTGAATACTGTGTAAGGCAGACACCGTTGGGTTGTATACTGAGGTGCAGCATGGTGACTGAATACTGTGTAAGGCAGACATCGTTGGGTTGTATACTGAGGTGCAGCATGGAGACTGAATACTGTGTAAGGCAGACACCGTTGGGTTGTATACTGAGGTGCAGCGTGGTGACTGAATGCTGTCATTGTGTTATACCGCCACAACTGTCTGCGCTTCTTTACCTAGTCGAGTACGTGTATTTTGTCTTACCCAACAGACAGCACATACATAAATAGTATGTAGAGTATTTACCTCTTCATTTACAAATACTATTTGATACTTTGCTAGCATTTATCTAAAATACAAGGCAGACATGCATTGTGCAAACATTATTTTTGTTAGATTTGGGAGTTTCAACGGTATACACACAATGCAAAATAAATATTGTGTTGGTGCTTCGAACGGGTTTCATTTATATGTGTTTTCTTTATACTCAACTTTAGCATAGTCAGACGGTCAATATATTCTTCCCAATGAAAATTGATGAATCGTAGAACCCCCAGGCCACGAATATCTTCCATTACCTCTGCAGTTACAGGCTGCTTATTTTGTTGGTTTAAAATTGTGGTAATCACTTCAGCAAACATTGTGACTTTATAATTGAAGCCTAATGGTGAGCCTAAGTAGTGATTCTCCTGTAAAGATTAACACTGCCTTACACTGACGGTGTGTCATAGTAGTGATTCTCCAGTAAAGATTATCACTGCCTTACACTGACGGTGTGTCATAGTAGTGATTCTCCTCTAAAGATTAACACTGCCTTACACTGACGGTGTCTCATAGTAGTGATTCTCCAGTAAAGATTAACACTGCCTTACACTGACGGTGTCTCATAGTAGTGATTCTCCAGTAAAGATTATCACTGCCTTACACTGACGGTGTGTCATGGTAGTGATTCTCCTGTAAAGATTAACACTGCCTTACACCGTTGGTGTCTCATAGTAGTTATTCCCCAGTAAAGATTATCACTGCCTTACACTGACGGTGTCTTATAGTAGTGATTCTCCTGTGCAGATTAACACAGCCTTACACCGTCGGTGTGTCATAGTAGTGATTCTCCAGTAAAGATTATCACTGCCTTACACCGTCGGTGTCTCATAGTAGTGACTCTCCAGTAAAGATTATCACTGCCTTACACTGACGGTGTGTCATAGTAGTGTTTCTCCTGTAAAGATTAACACTGCCTTACACCGTTGGTGTCTCATAGTAGTGATTCCCCAGTAAAGATTATCACTACCTTACACTGACGGTGTGTCATAGTAGTGATTCTCCTCTAAAGATTATCACTGCCTTACACTGACGGTGTGTCATAGTAGTGATTCTCCTGTACAGATTAACACAGCCTCACACCGTCGGTGTGTCATAGTAGTGATTCTCCAGTAAAGATTATCACTGCCTTAAACCGTCGGTGTCTCATAGAAGTGATTCTCCTGTGCAGATTAACGCAGCCTTACACCGTCGGTGTGTCATAGTAGTGATTCTCCAGTTAAAATTATCACTGCCTTACACTGACGGTGTCTCATAGTAGTGATTCTCATGTGCAGACTAACACTGACTTACACTTCCGGTGTGTCATAGTAGGGATTCTCCTATGCAGAGTAACACTGCCTTGCACTGACAGTGTGTCATAGTATTGTTACAAGGTAAAAATGCATCCTAAACCCACAAGAAAATTACATCAGAATCCTTATATAGATTTGCGGCTATTCTCATGAGTGCTTTAAGGTTGGGAAAGCAATGGAAACAGAATGTCGCCAGTTACTAGTAGATCAATAGTTAGATGTGTTTGTGTCGTAGGTTTCGCGAGGCAAGTGAAGAAGACAGTCACTATTAGAGACAGAACAAATTACCAATTACGTTAAAACAACAAAGAACAGTTGCAAAGGGATCAGTCACCGATCAGTGATCTCCGTTATATTTCCAATCGCAACACACATGAGTTCAGAGTCAGAAATAGTTAACGAATTAAAACGAGGTATGGGAACATGTGGTCAAGATCAGGTCAGACTCGAACCAAGTGAAAAGAGACCTTTAACACGAGTAGAGGGGAGCGGGCGACGGAGGCGAATAGCAGTTACACAGTTTCCCACTATGGGGTGAGTCTATCTGTCTTGTGTTGAAGCTGTGTCCATCACCGGGTGGACTGGCATCCTTAGTGCATCACAGCTAACTGCTGTCAAGGAAATAGAAGTGACGAGTTAGTTGTGTGACTTTAAGTAGTATACCGTGTCAAGGGTGAGACCGTGTAAGGAAGTACTGTGTGACAGGTTAGTGGTGATACCGTGTAAGGAAGTATTGTGTGACAGGTTAGTGGTGAGACCGTGTAAGGAAGTACTGTGTGACGAGTTAGTGGTGAGACCGTGTAAGGAAGTATTGTGTGACGGGTTAGTAGTGAGACCGTGTAAGGAAGTACTGTGTGACGATTTAGTGGTGAGACCGTGTAAGGAAGTACTGTGTGACGAGTTAATGGTGAGACCGTGTAAGGAAGTACTGTGTGACGGGTTAGTGGTGAGACCGTGTAAGGAAGTACTGTGTGACAAGTTAGTGGTGAGACCGTGTAAAGAAGTAGTGCATGTCAGAGGTACAAGAACAGATATCAATCACAGTTTCATGTCTAACTCAACTAAATCGTCGCCTGAAACCAGAGTGTTCTAAGTCCACTTTTTGACAATCAGAGTTAGTATGCTCGGGGTAGGTTTTAGAGCATAATCTGTTTCTCTAGCAACTTTTTGCAGTGCTATCTAGCTTTAAAGGTGGTATTTCAAGAACAAACTTTGTTCTATCTCCATGACAAATAACATGCTATAAGTCTTCGAGTGTTCTAAATTGTCAATTGGCCAATGAGCAAGCACAATTTGATCACGTGACATGGAGATTTACCAATTTTGAAGTGATTTTCATCATGAATGGAACATTTTAACTCTTTTTTTATTTCTGCTTTATTTCATTAAGTATAGTCCTTATGCAAGTAAAAAAGGTTTAAACGACAAAAACAAAAATACCTTGTAAAAAAGAAATAAGAATCAAATATCCATATAATAATAATAAGGCTGAGATTTGGCTGTGTTTCTGACACTTAGCACACTTTGGTTTTGAGAAAAATCACGATTTTCTTTAGTCAAATGTTCTATCTCCAATCATTGTTCGTGGACTTCTTATATAGTTCAATAGATTGAGAATATAGTTTGCTATTTTCTGATACTGTTTGACATGTCCCATCCAAAGAATTCCAAAGTATTCGATTGAATAGTTTAGAATATATTGTTGTCCTAAACTTCTAGATCGATTTTCTCGAAAATAGTTTTTTTGTGACTTAGTACTGTTATAAGGTAAAAATGCATCCCCCAAACCATGAGAGAATTACATCAGATTCGTATTTAGATTTGCAGTTTTGCTCATGAGTCATAACGGTTAGGCACGGTATGGAGACGGAAAGTCTCCATAGAATGGCGTTTAGCCGTAGGCTATGGAGAGAGAGACAGAACACATTCTTGTGAAAGACATAACAGATTAATCTTATATTGAAACAAACAACAAAGGGGTGAGTGACCGAACGATTCTTACCGGTACTTTTCCAATCGTAATATTCATGAGTGCAAGGTCGGATACAGGCTAACCGAATCAAAACGATTAGTTGAAACATGTGATGAAGATCAGGCCAGGCTCGAACCATATAAAGAGACAGGTTGGGCACTGAGCGAGGGGTGCGCGCTTTTTAGTGACGGAAGCCAGTCCACGCCACTCAGTTGCCCCGTGTGGTACGAACCTGCCCTGTCTGATGTTGAAGTTGTAGTTAGAGAGATGGACTGAGACAGAGTAAAAACTATGTGAGTATAAACTTGGTGTTGCGTTTATCTTTGAATGTATGTGTGCCAGTACATGAATGTTATGTGGTTAATTAGGAGTCACGGTCGTCCGAACCCTCACTCCTTGACTTAGTATCCTGCAACGGACCAAGCGAGTGGAGCGCCAGAGCTACCATCTCCCCGAACAATGTGGAACGACCATAATTAATAGGTAACTGTGGTAGGGTTTACTAACACCCAATCGCCGGTTACGGCATGGTGGAGTCTGCGGGTTCTTCTTGAACAAAATGTTTAAGACGATCCCTTTCGCTGTTTTTCTCATGGTCGCTCCTACCCTTTTATTCCTTTGCGTTGACGTTTGACGGTAGGTTCCCTTTTAGCGGCTGGGATATGTTATCTGCAGTTTTCCCTCAGGATATTTGGATTTTTTGTAATGCCTCGTGGAAATGATTCAGATTCATCTACGTCCTATGACAGTCCGGTCCAATCTCGTCCCATCACGTCTAACATTTTTACTAATCCAACCCGAGTTGGCATCATACAACAACCCACGTCAACGTCTCACCCTCCATCTGCTCCCAATGACCTCTCCCTATCTCTTTCTCAGGAGGATTTAGAATTCTCATTTTCCTCTTTAGATTTGTCATCTACCAATAGTTCTTATTCTGCACCTGACTTCAATATGGGCGATTCCACTTTTATGCCAGAACATTTCACAGGTAGGGACACGTCTCATGCTGCCAAGTGGCTTGACCGTTTTGCTCATTTTGGTAACTTTAAAAGGTGGACTGATGCACAGAAAATTGAAGTTTTCCCACTCTTTTTAAAGGACGCGGCGTATCTATGGTACAAAGATCTGATAGAATCGGCAGAGGAAGAAATAGTTCGTTTTGATGAGATTGAGAAATTGTTCAAGGACAAGTATGTACATCCTACTCACCGTTGGGCCCTTTTGGAAACTTTTGTCAGTCGAAAGCTATCCTCTACAGAATCTATAGATACTTATTTGGCGGACTTGACTGAGACGGCTAGCCTTTTGGGAACATCAGACACGGACTTAATGGACGCTTTTGTCCGGGGATTAGATGACAATACTAGGCGACATGTTTTAATGAAACAGCCAACTGTGCTTAATGAGGCAGTCTCATTTGCGAGATTGGCCAGGTAAGTCATTCCACAGGCTGCAGAAAGTACGAATATGAAGCTGGCAATAGAGACTTTGAGAGAGCAAATTGCTTCGCTCGCAGGGAAACTCGCTCAACCAACATTACCAGTCAGTACTTTTCAGTATCGCAAGAATCAGCGCTCTCAATTCCCTATAAGACAAACAGCTCGTCCGTGGCAGCAGCCACAACCTCAGTTTCAGCGACAGCTGTATCCGGACCAACACAACCTGCAGCGACGCCCACCCCAGTCTCCTCGGCCAAACTACACCCCAGGAAGGACCATGACACGAGCACGCCCGTGTTATCGCTGTGGAGGTGAGTATGACTTATGTCATTCCGATAGGTGTCCAGCTCGAAATTCAAAGTGTCACTATTGTCAGAAGGTAGGACATTTCCAACGTGTTTGTAATGCTCGAGGTCAGGCAGA